TAAAGGCATTTCTCTTTGAACATTGGTCTTAGCCTGTGAGAAAGCCTTCTCTCCCTCTTGAGGCTGCTTCCTGAGCTACAGCTGGCCATGCTAGCAGCCTTCCCTGCATTTCAGCCTTAAACCTGTATTAAAGGCAGAAGGAGGTGCCTCCCAGCACCTCCTGATCTCCAGAGGTATCACTGCTGCTCCGTGGTTTAAAGATGGGATGCATATATGATAAATTTTAATTAATCAAATCAAGAATTTTGATACATATTTGAGAATCTATTTGCTGCCAATCCACATATTTATAATAAAGAAATAGAGGCCAGAGAAACATCGAAGAAGAAACAGACAGCACAAAATGTGTCTAAGAAGCGACACCATCACCATGGGGAGCTTCTCTCTCCATCCAGACTGCTCCTGGTCTTGCTTCTTCCCAGCCTAGGACTAGTTTGATACTGTCACCTCTCTCACCCCACTGTTCTGTGCTGCTCCAGATCCTCAGCTCTTACTCAAAGCCATTTCTCTCCCCTGAGCAACCTTCCCTTTTTGTTTTCCTTCACACTGTGATTTTAACTGACTTTTAGTCTACTTGCACAAAGTAGTTAGATCAAAGATAGCCCAGAAGTGAGTGTGATAGCCTGGGCAAGGAAGAGTCACATCCAATTCTCCTCTCCACCACTGACTTCTCACCTAACCACAGACACACTATTTCACCTCTTTCTGTCCACCACTGCCTTCTTCAAAGTACTGTTCAAAGACATCAAAGATATGTGTTAAAGACTGGAAACACTTTGAACATCATGATAGTCACTGGCCACTTCAAGAGATCTTGTCCGTTACAGCTGGATGTTTACCCTTAGGTGAAACCACAACTCTACCATCAGAGCTGAACACTGTGTCCTTCAGCAGATGGTGGGGTTTACCCTCTCTTTGCAAGGGTCATGGTCAGTATTGCAGTCTGCCCCAGCTCACATGGCCACATGCTGCGAGATGAACATGCAGACGTGCTGCAGTCCTCCTACAACCAGCCCCAAACCTCCTGGAAGGTTAGAACAGGAGGGGTGGGATATGGCCACCCAATGCTGAGACCCTCTGGCTACTGCTGGGGTGTGAAAAGGAAGAGGAAAAATGCAACAAAAGAATAAAAAGGCTTCCAGTCGAAAGCACAATTAGGAAGAATGCACCCCTTTTTCTCAGGGTTAGTCTTTTTTTCTCCTCTCTTTTTGGCCTGGCTCACGGCTGCCTGCAGCTCCCTTTGCTGGTTGCCTAGCAGGACTAGCATTCATGGCAATCTGAGGTACACCATGGATGTTCCCTGGAAGCAGCCTGCTATTTCCTACCCAGATGTCTTTTCTTTTGGTCAGTGTCATTGCTCAAAGAGCAACAATAGCACTCTATTTCCGTGGCACTCATCTTCAGATATTCTAGTGACAACCTTGCCTTACCTTCAGCTATGTTGTACCCTAGATGAATATCACATACAAAATCCAAAACAAATCAAGGCAGCTAAACTTGTTAATCCTTCCGGTCTGCAAGGCAGAAGGGTTGTTTTACAAAGCACAAACACTCAAGCTACACAGTTCTGCTCAAGTGCCCTGTAACAGTCAAGAACAGCTGAAGCAATTAGCAATGCCCCATCTCCTCCAAAAGGCACAAACTCCAGGGAAGGAATCAATAGGAAAACTTTACAATACAGAGCCTTTAGCTTAAGACACAATTTAGTGATAAAGCCTTTAAAAGACAAGGGATAAGATGCTAGACATGGACTTAGGAAAGGGCTTAACTCTATCCTTGCGTATTTGGCCGTGCCATAGTCTTGGGCTCCCCCATGTAAATAATAGTTGTTTTCTTCATGAAACCATTTGGAGTCCACTGACAGAACAGGCTAAAGAACTATACTTATGACCTATTTATACCATCCTATTATGCAACAGGGTAGTTTTAACACTGAACAATGTGCCAGAACAGACACAGGGTAAATGCTCCTGCAGAACTCTAACCACACGCACCTCACGTGGTAAGGTGCGTGTGGTTAGAATTCTCTTCATTAAGTGTTTGACTGGGATTTGTGACATGTGCCCGTGTCCAGGCAAGAGGCTCAATTTGCTGACTCCTCCAGTCCCACCTCTCTACAAACTGTGCTTTTTACAAACAGGAAAGGGAAAATGTTCTCATACACATTGGCTACATGATGAATGGAGGGGCAGTTTAACCTCTCAAACACCTTGTATTTATTCTCGTTAACAGAATTTGAGTGCAGGATTCCAAAACATCACCTGAAAGCTGAAGCCTACCCAGAGCTTTCAAGTTCAGGAATTTCACCTTCACAAATCCGTATTTCACCAAAGAAGCTTGTGATTAGTTTATACATTTCATCATCATATAAGCACCTAACACCTCAACCACATAAAGCACTAAGATCAGGACTCAGAAAGATACTCTAATTATAAAACTGATTTATTGTTTACTCTCACAGGCCCTAGTTGTTACTTCCACTGAAGTCAATGGGAGTTTTGCCATCGACTTCAATAGGGTGGAGCAGAGCCAGGGACTTTTGTCTGTTAATTCCTTGTGGATCATTTACAGCTTTCCAAGCACCACTGCAAAAATAAACTTCAGATTTTGGAAAAACCACACTCACACACACAACAAAACACACAACTGGAGTTAAAATGTGTATAAATACCCAAAGAGAACCGCTGGCGTAATATCCCTACAGGATTTCAGAATAGCTTATTATTTACTCATTAAATCAGTAAATGACAGCTCCATTTTTCAAGAACAGCTGAATGTGCATTTCTCTCATCGGGGGTCAAATGATCCACCATCCCAAATATATAATTTGCTCTTGAGTATAGATCAAGTCTCAGTCTTGGGCTCAGAGCACAGACACGGCTAAAAGTGGCCTTGATAAGAGATAGTGCTCTGGAGGTGCCAAGCAAAGATATCCACACAGGGAAGGGGAATATCTCTTCTAGGTACCTCTCTAGTGCAATCCAGTTGATGAACCCTAGATGCTCAAGGTCTTGATGAGGGAAAAAGAGCAGGCTACAGGAGACAACCAGCCACATGAAGTCAGATATTCAGGCAGCCAAAAAAACAGAGAAAGGATGAAAACTCGCACACCTTCTATTTCTTCCACCTTTAACACGCCTATCCTACCTCAAACAGCGCATTGACAAAACTCAATATTAGGATAGAGCTTGAGCATTTTTGCACCCTATTGTCACATATTTCCAGGCAAGACTCTTCTGAAACTAAATATTTCCCCTGCAAATACCTGTGAAATGTCACTCTCCTGCAAATTTCCACCACTCAGCTGCTGAAAGAGTCAAAAACTAAAGCCCTGGACTAAACCGGGGCAATGCTCCTGGATGAACCTCCACCATCTTGCTGAAAGGATTCTCATGTCGACCGCTTGGGAAAAGCGGGGCTAAGACAAAGGGGAGCTGAAAGCCTGGGGCTTGAACTGAAACTATAAAAGGAACAAAAGTAGGAGCAACAAAACTCTACGGACTCCTTTGGCACCCAAGGAGGAAGCTTAAAACACAGCCAGCGTCTCTCAGCCTTCCCCCCCCCCCCCATCTTCTTCTAAGAAGAAAAAAAGAAAGGAGAAAAGACAGCTCTTAGAAACAATCTCTTTCTGTGTAAGCTGTTGCCAGAGTCAGAGAATAAGCCAGCGTTTCTGTGCCAGCCCATTCACATGGCCAGGTGAAAAGAAACTCATTCCTTTACAGCCTGTGCTGCCCCACACAACATCTGCTGAGAAAGTGGGATGGGAAACACCAAAAAGGGGAGAAGAGAACAGCCGAGGCCTTCAGGTTAGAAGGGCAGGCTGTTCCCACCAGGGAGCCCCTCTTTCACTTGCAGACAACTGCTGCATTTGACATTTCAATGGGAACTGAGGCAGAGCAGGAGGGAGGGCGACGGAGGAGGGGGAGGTGGCAGAGCACACATAAAGGGACCCAAGTGAGAAAAAGCAAAGAGACAAGAATTCTGCATCTCTTTCATTGCTGCTTTCAGGGGTTTTCCCCCATAATATGAGAGTCGGGAGAAAGAGGAGAGTTTCTTTTAAAATGAGAGGTCTGGCGCTGTAAAAAAAACTTCGAGATGAATCAATTTTATGGGGCTTACAGGGCAAAACTCATTTTTTTGTCAGCCCCCTTTCTTGTGTTTTCAATGAGAAGGGAAAAGGATTTACATAAAATAAACAACAAGAATGAATAGGAGCAAACCCTGCCATGGGCACCAACAGTGGATGCTTTTAGAAAGTTACACGAATGTTGTTTCGGTGCTCAGCATTGTCTGAAGGTTCAACACAGACACATTCATCCCGGGGAGCAATTCTGGAATCCCGATCGCTTCATACAAACCTCTCAATGAGAGCTGCATGCTTTTTTAAACCTGCTTTAGAGAAACTTTCATCCAAACACATCAGAGTATTTTGTAAAGGCTTCAAAGCAGCCCTGTGCCATAAAAAGGGTATTATCTCCATTTGACAGAACAGGAAACTGAGGCCCAAAGGGAATCACTCAGACAGCATCCAGAAATGAATCACTGGTGAAGCCTGGAATAAAACTGGTTCCCTGGAGCACCACACTCATCTGCAGTGGATGCAGAAGTGGCCTTGGCTAAGTAAGAGTCTCTGCTGGGGTTTATGGTAAGTCCAAATATGCAAACCAAAAAAAAACAAGGCCTAAAACATTCATATCTACAAGTGGTAGATAGGGATTCATAGTCACAACAGTCCAGGGAAGTTTGGAGGAACCTTTCAGCATTGGGTGAAGAGATAAGCAAATGGCTGAGGTGGGAAGATGGTAGAGGAGAGCCCAGAGCAGCTTCCTTGAAGGCAATGTAGGAAGGTTGGGGCTCTCACTCTTCTGAGGTGCAACGTGGGATCAGCTTCCACAAATGGAGTGGGATAAGAAATATTACATCCACAATTACTTCAGGTTTGCTTCTTTCTCTGTAAGGATTTCCATGAATTCCTCTAACATTAAGGGAAGCAAAAAAAAAGAAACCCAGAAAGCTTGCAAGGTTAACACCACGCTCAACATTCAACACGTGCTGTACAAGTCAGTAGTGCCTTGCTATTTGCTTAGGACCAGGGTCATGCACAGGAGAGAGGCTCCAAAAAGCCACAAAGCCCTGAATGTGTGAGCAATAACTCAGAAGCAAGGATTACGAGGTTAAAATGCTTTGTGTTCAGCTGGAATCAGCCTAGAGAGAGTTCAGCATCACTTATGCTTTTGTGTGTCAGAAATTGCCAATCTTTGATCCTTCCTGACTGCTCCTGACTCAACATTACCTCCTTTGTGCCTCTGCTCCTCACGATACACATACACACAAACCAGTGAGCTACCGGTTAATAGGCCAGTTTGCACTAGGACAGAATTAAGAGTGAAGAAACAAAGCCACAGGTGTTTCCCAGTAACATGTATGCATCACTTATCACAATGAGGAATCACAGCCTGCACCTCCCTCCTACCAACACATCCTCATGGCTTTAACCAGCACTCTCCAGGCTTCCAACCTCCACAATCTTCATTTTCACTCTTTTGCCAGTCACAGGCATCCACAAGCAGATTTAACTGAATATTCATAGTGCCCATCAGAAGGCATGGAGAGAACTTGATCATTTATTTTGGAGTGCTTTGGTGGTTTATTTAAAGTGAGAAAAACATCTACAAAAATTTCTGTCACTGGCAACAAGAAAATCTTTACCAACCTTTCTTCATCTTTGGAGGTTAAAACATGAACCCTGTTTTAAAGGGACTTGCATGTAATATGTATTTTCTGCATTTGTCACACCCTCAGCAAGTCCAGCACCATGGCATAGCAGGTATCAGAGTCCTGTGCAATCCTAAAACCTCTCCACCATGCTTGGAGGAAATGGCAAATGCTTTCCATTCCATCTTTTCCTTCCCTCACACCCCCAGTGAGGGCAAAGGAAGTTTTCCTGTGCTAGAAAGGAACCTAGGGCACTCTCCAAAACTGCAGGAATGCTTCAGCCCATCATCTGAAAAATCCCAATTTTATACTGGAGGAACATTTAAGAGTATTTTCCCAGCACCAAAATAAGGAATGTTCCCAAGGATGGGAGGTTTTGCTGCCTGTCCAAACTCTCCACTGAAGTCCAGTACATGTGAGCATCCTAAGGGGTGAATCTGGATGAGTGCAAGGCAATCCAGGCTGCACTCTGCTGTACCACTAACACCCAAAGCAAGGAGCTGTTGGCACCTCTGAACTGTGTGGCTCTATTTTCCATCTGCAAAACAGGAATAAAAACCTACCCAATCTCAACACATTGAAACCCTGTGCAGATGATAAAGCTGCAAAGTGCTGATGAGGTTAAATCCCTTCCTGGTGCCTCACAAGCAGCTCTCAGGGAGGAGACAACAGATAGAGAAGGACTTTATTTTCTAACTATAATAAAGTTGCCCTTATTATTGCAGTTTTGGCAGCAGTAATATAATTTCGGAAGTTATCTATATCCCAGTTTATCCCCACCCTTTAATGCCCAGGAGAAGTGACTAATTGAGTGACAACAGAGCAGAGCCACTACAACTCTTGCAGCCTCCATAGTAGGTGATGAGGACAAGTCCATGCATCTTTTCCCATATGGAGCTGAAGCCACATCCCAGTGCCCGGTCTGAGAGGCTTCACTGTTTCGGCTGCCACGTTTTATAACACATACTCAGAAACCAGATATCTGTGGAGTAATGGTGAGTAATGTACTGGCTGCTATCTGCCTCGTTGAAAGGGTGATAAGAGTCGGTCAGAGATAGTCCTGCTTCCCAAATTAGATAGCTAAACCATCAGGCCCTTGGAAAATTAACACCACAGGCTCCTCCCCACCATCACCTTCCTCCTCACAGATAAGCACCTGAGCATTGCTAGCACAACATTAACTGCAGCATCAGTCCCTGGTCTTTAAAGAGTCATGACTCACAGACAAGATCATGAAATTCATTTATACTTAATTCAATTTTTCTATTAAAAGGCTCATTTGAATGCGCTTTCAGTTTTCTCCTCACTGCTGGGCTAGAAATGAGTTTTTAAATGGAAAACGCAATGAAGAGAGAAGCTGCTTTTCCTACAGCAGTTGGAATTCAGTGAAATCTTTCAACCTGCAGGAAAGGCACAACTTTCTCTAAGCCAAAAGATATGGCAACAACACGTCTATCAAAAGCATTCCTCAGGTTAAGGCGTTTTCCCTGTGCTTGGCTCAAGCCAAGTTTTTAAGCTGTAGTTCATACATTATGCCCACAAAAACAACTGCCTCAGAGTCACAGCAGTGTGATGAGTTTGCTCTGCTGCAGCACTTGACCCATGTTTTCACACTGCCAACTGATTTGGGCCAATAACATCAGCCAGAGGCAGGTACCTAGGTGAGTGATGAGGAAAAGCAATGACATCTGGACCCATCACTGCTATTTGCTTCAAGGACCAGAGCCATGTTCTGGAGATGGTTGGCCCCTACTTTGAAACCCTCCCAGTGCTTGTGGTAGAGGTCAGGCAGGGATCTCAGATGGTTCAGACTGGTTGGAATAGGAAACTGTATGGTGATGAGAAATCTTGGTTGTGTTCACAGTGCTGTCCCCAGCACTCTTTGGCAACAAGCAACTTAAAAATGTCTCAAGTGAGCTCTGAGATAGGGCAGAAACTTCGGTTGGAGAGAAAAAACAAACAAACAATCACTCTACAAACATCTCAGAATGGAAAAATCATTAAGAACTTGACACTGAAAATACTCTGGATTTGGCATTTTGGTGCTCTGTGCTCTTGTTGTCCTTCATCAGCTTTATCTGCCTTGGGCATGAAATACTGTAGATCCGCACCTCCCAGAAGCAATGGAGATGAAAGATTTGGGGTTCAGCACTACCTGAAGACCAAGGCGACCACAAAGCTGAGACCAGACTTCAGCCAAACCTTCCTGTGAGCAGTGAGCAATTGCACCGCAGTTTTGGTATTTGCACGCTCCTGGAGCAAGGACCATTTTTGTTCAGCTCTTAACACCAGCTCAGCACCATCTAATTTTCCATCTCTGAAGGAATGCTCTGGTTTGCCAGGTTAACTCTGGGCAGAGCCATGTGCTATTTGGATGGAGACCCATGAGCTACAAGAGCTGAATTTGGAGCCTCTTTCACCTACCATTCCCCAGTCACATTCTGAGAACTCAAGGAAGGGAGTGAATAATCAGAGAACAAGTTTTAAAGAGAAATACAGTGAATTCATCTGTAAGATGTACATGGGTAACCTACCTGCTGGCTGTTACCATTAGCAATTTTTTAAGCTGATTTAAAGCAGATGAAAGCCCTGAAGGCTAAAGTCTGCTAATTCACCCCCCACCTACCCACCAGCTCCAGAAATAAATCTTGTGGGTTTGGAAATAGCTCCTTCCCCACCTCTAACCACAGGCTTGACAGTCCCAGCCAAGCCTCTCTGTTTCATTAGCTCCTGGATCATTCATACACATACAAATATGCATACATAGGCACACACATACAAAGAGCTGCCCACTTACAAACCTGACAGGTAAAATTATTCCCTCCTTCTACAGCCCTCCTAATTGCCTCCCCTGGGCTCTTGCGAAGTGCAAACGTCACTGGCTAAATATTAAGTTCACGCAGTGTCACCATTATGCCTTTCATTAAAGCAATATCTGTCTCATAGCTCACCGTATATGCTCCTTCTAATTTCACTGTTAGGACCCACATGCAGCGCGCAACTTTCCAGTCCAACTTTGAATCATTATGCCAATTCCCCTCAGTTATTTAATGATAATTTTCTCAGGAACCACTTGAAAAACAAGGGTGAGGTTTTTGCTAAAGCACATTTTACCCCGGCATGCATACATGTGCCTTTTCTTGATTTGCCCAGAAACAGCTGGTAATTCAAGATCCCATTCATTCAATACCATTAAAATGGAGTCCTATTAGAAGGTTTACAGTTTTTACCATCTTAAATCTCCACGCTGGAAGCTTGTCATGGCGTCATAGTCTGAACAGAAGTGAATTTCACAGTGAGTTTTCAGAAGTGAATTTTCCCATCAGAGAAGGGTCATCTCCGCAGCTGCTGTTGTTTATGCCTCCTGAAATCCAAATGGAGAAACACGCCACCTGTGAGGAACAGCAATGATTTTAATTGGATTGCATTTACTATCAAGAGATAAATAAGCAACAGAAATAGTTAGTGTCAGTAGTCCTTTTTTTGCAAACTGGGACCTGTAACAATTGCTCCCGAGTTCAGGATGCAAACCAGCCTTTCCCAAATACCTTTTGAACCCCACCTCTGACAGGACCTTAAAAGTTGAGGAGTCAGCACTGAGACAGAAGAAACTGTAAGAAATGGACTTAACCAGAAAACACTTGAAAATGGAAAAGGAAGTAAATCTGGCTGCTATAGGTTACTCAGCAAACAGCAATGCCAAAGTAGGATCTATTGTGCTAATGCACAGAATTCTATAGCCTGATGATTTGCAAAGCAAGTTAATAGAATAACAATTAACAAAATGAACTATCCTCAAATTGTTTGGATTAATGGTAAGCAGTGAGCAACATGGTAGCTGTTCTCTGCTTTTTGGAGGTGCGGATAGCAGAAACAAAGCACGCAAACCCAGCTGCATGAGCCTGGGCTAGTATTTATAACGTCGAATTGCCAAAATGTTCTCAGCAGCTTTGAAAACCAGACCACGGTGTTCACATCCCACCAAGGATTTGGAAACTTGAGATTGGAAAGGGTATGACTAGGAACATTGGATATAAAACACTACAGTATCACAAAGCACACACTGACTCTGCAATTGATTTCTTTCAACAGTTGAATCTCTTGGTTGCAGATTGAACAGGGAGTCAATAATTCCCATTTCTATTTCCAACACCATCAATAAGAATATCTGGGAGGATTTCTTCCAGGAAAGATAGTCTTCAAATCCTTTCATGTGGGATGCCAATTTGTCAATGTTGGTTTATGACACTGAAGTCTTTGCATTAATAAGACAAAAGCAGGAGCCCCAGGAGCTCAGTGCACAGCCTGGGTGTCAGGACAGTTATTTTCCGGCACCCACCACCACTGAGCACAGCCATGGGTGGCTCAAACAGCCCCCTGTGCTCCAGTTGTTACAGGCCAGAGTGCAATCCTCATTCAGACTGTAAACCAGCACTTTAGCGATTGTGACAGAACATTTAGGATGCAAGCAAGTCTAATGAGACCAGTTGCTACATCTGTAATAGGTAGCTATGAATTTACACTCCTCCTTCTTTCAAAATGCATGATCTTCACCCAAGAATATGGAAGCGCTTTTGCTCCCCCCTGACAAATACCTAAGCCTAGTCAAAGGTGAAGGTATGCATACATTTATTCCAGCTGTGGGCTGTATCTGCAGATGAAATACCATTTTTTCTGGGGCTGACAGAAAAGGGTGCTGGAAAAAAATGTGTCAAAGGAAAATAAAACAAACCAGTCAGGCAATAGCTAGAAACTAAAAGCTGTTTCCCACCACAGGTGTCTTATTTCCCCTGAGGGCCACCTCTTGCTGTCCCCCCCCCCTTCCAGATGCTACAACTCAAGAGGCAGTGGGATGGGTTAAGTGACTGGAGCAAGTCATGCTCTCCCTCCTTCCCCCTCCTTCTATTCCTCCTGCTAGCAGAGGCAGGCCAGACACAAGCCACTTTCAGCTAACACACCTTACTCCTTTACCCAGCCATATAATGATGTTTAAAATACCCTCAGAAGATGCTTTTCACTACACGTAATAATGGACACTTGCAGGACTCTGCTGCAATTAGTAGATTGCCGCCCCCCACTGAGGATAATGAATAAGGAGGTACCCAATATGGAAGAACAAGAAGGGGAGACAGAAGTAAGAATAGAATTTTCAGCCTCAGGTGTTCAGGCACTTGAGGGTAAAAGCACCTCCTTGCTTTATGGTTCTGGAGGGTTGGAGAAGGTACAATTTGTACAGAGAGAAAAGGAGACACACAGCTAGATCCAACGTGTCCATACTTGTTCCTTTCTTGTATGCACCAGGGGAGCAGAAACCATTTTGCAAGCTGGTCCCCATCCCCCAGTACGGGTTTTTCCTTCCCTTGTTGTTGCAGTCAGACACTGGCCATGCTATCATGCAATGCACAGCCCCACCAAACTGAGATTAGCTGCTAATGCACCTCCATGGACAGGCTTTTTGTAGAAAGGGCTCTGGAGCATGTCCTCTTCTCTAAGGAGAGCTGTTGCACCGATTTGTGAAAGCAGAGGCCCCCAAGAAAACATCTAACTGCTTTTGGTTAGTAATGTGGAAACAGGAGCCTGGCCAGCTCTTACAAAACACACTTTTGACACTGATCTCCCAAACAGGAACAGACTTGTTCTGGCTGCACATACGTGTACACACACCCACATACACAGATGTGAGAGGAAAACTTGGATCTTCTGGGCTCCAGCCACCAGTGCTAGCCCAGCCTCCACCACCATAACCCACCGCTGCAGCTGGTTGGGGTTCAGCTCTGGCTCATGCTTGGTGTCCAAGGCACCAAAGTGTCTGTCAATGACCATGAAGGGGACCCACTCCCATGGGCTGCAAGCGCTGATAGGACTGGGAAACACAGGGAGGAAGAGATGAGAGTCTCCATCCATCAAATGAGGCAGCCAAATGAATTGCCCTTTTCAAGAGCTGCAAGTGTTCCAAGTGCAAATCTTTCAAAGTTTGTGACGATAAATTTCCCCCCCATCCTATTAATAAAACATAACAGCAATTCTGAGAATCATGGCCTATTATCTAAAGTCTTAAAATGACAGAGGAATCAAAAGAAAGGTGAAATATAGGACTGGAGGAATCAGTTCGGGGGGTTGCAACGTGCCTGTGTGGCACACAAGCAAAACGCAATAGATTTAGTGGTTTCTCAGAAAAACAACACGAGAATGGCTTATTGTTAAAAAAGCTTTCAAATGCACATTTTAAGTTGTTCTCAGGGCACATATGTCAGTCATTTGCACAGCTCAAAAAATCACGGTGATTTGCCATGTAAGCCTGCAGAAGAGACAGGTTGGACGTACCCAACTCCTGCCACTCCTATGCTACAACTGCCATGAAGTTTGCAGGTTCTACCACCCAAAAGCAACAGGACTCATGGCAGGAGGTACAATAAGGATCACAAAGCACATGTTGGTCTCTGCCACTATTAGACTAGGCAGGGAAAACTATTTTTAATGGTTTTCCCCATAGGAGGTGCATAAAAAAAAGCCTGAACTTAACTAAAGGCTTAAAAAGGTTTGAGACAAAAAAAAAAGAGTAGTCTGACTTTTGCTGGGGTTTTCTTGGGAGAGCAAAATTACAGCCAAGTTCATATTTTATTTCCCTTTTTTTGCTACTTTTGTAGGAATTTGAAATTTAGGACAAGTCAATAAGTTCATGCTTTTACTCTTTTCCCTTTTCTTCTAATGATGGCATCATTATTCCTTCTTCCCTTACCTTTCTCTCGTTATCCAGAAGTTGAATTCCCCAGAACAGCCTTACTTACACAACCCCTAACAAAAACCCTGCTCTACTCCCTCCTTGCATCCAGCCACTAATGCAAAAACTACTCATGACTTAATGATGCTTCTCCATGCTTCATTAGCTTTTATCAGTATGGAAATCAGGATTCATTTAGAGTTCTTCAGACCTGTCACTGGAGATGGGCATGGGGGAACAGGATAAATTTCTGGCTTTCTCAGTGTCATCGGGCTTGTTGCCATTGATTTCAGGGGTGTCAGAAATGTCACCCATGGAGATTTCAGCGATAGGCTGCTGAGTCTGATCCAGCCTCAATTAGCAGCTGCCTGATAATTGTTGACATTGGAAAGCTATGAAGTAAATCGGGGGCCTTGATCCAATGAACCATAAAAATAAATAATAACCATAAAACTACGTCTGCACTATAAAAATCTCACATGATTGCCAGTAACGATGTCTGCTATTTATATACGCTACCTGGCTGGGGAGGTTTCTGCACTTAGATGCGGAACAGAATCTGCCTTAGCCATCTTTATGGGAAGGTGAAGAGTTGAGCAGGCAGTGAACCAGCGCTATTATCTTGCATTGCCCTTAGTATAACCCAAATCAGGGTTTAGATGTTGTGGGTTGATCAGTCATTGTATCTCTGCCCATGGGGTCTTTCAAAAAGGCAGGTTTCAAGCACTTTTTCAAAGTTCCAGGGGTCAGATTCAAGCCCTCCTCCAGCCCTAAATGACCTATGAAATGTGGTGGCAAATCCAGGGGGTAGCTTCAAATTTGCTTTGAGCACATCTCCGAAGGAAAGCATGACACCACTCAGACTTTTGCTTTGATTTATCTTTCCCATCACCTTTGCTGTTGCTTTAGCGTGCATAAATGTATTTTAAGAAAGAATGTAGCTGCCAAAACAAGTTTCAGATCAGAACCTCCTGGGTTATAATTGCTTTTTCCCCATATGACAACTGACTTGAGACAACCTGGACTTGTTAAAATGATCTGACGCTTTACCAACCCTGGATGTGGCCGATTCTCAATAAGCCACCAGGCAAAGAACAACTTAGTCATTTAAAGACTTCAGTGCTGAAGAACTGGTCTTCTTTTCCCAGCTCCTCTGCCAGTCCTGTGCAGCTCAGTAGGACTGAAACATCAGAAAAGCTTTTAGTGGTTTATTTAGGTTCCAGTCCTACACGCCTTTGTACATCAAATTCCCATTGCCTCTGAACTGCAGAGGAAAAGCCTGGAAGTTTTCTTCGTGCTCCTCTAGTTTGTACACACAGAGTTTCTGATGCTTTCCTACCTGCACCAAATATAATACAGTGTTTGCAAAGAGCTGCGAGATCCCTGAACAGAAGATGACAAGAGTATAAAGTTATCATTTGCAAACAGCCTATTGATGTTTCTCCAGAGCAGCCAAATTCATACAATACCAAGCCCTTGCCCGTGTTCCACGTAATTTATTCAACACTCAGACTACATTTCATTTAATCAAGACGTATCGTATCGTCCCTTTCACCTGAAAGGAACACTGAAGTTATAATGAAAACAGGTCAATATATCAAGTACCAGCAACTTTTCCTGTGTTTCTGCTAGTCCCTGAAAGCCAAAAAAGAGCAGATGGTTTCCCTTCTT